GCTGGTCTATTATGTTGCTCAAGTCCCCACTTCTCCACCTTTTATCCAGTTGTTCTGATGTGACATGGTTGAAAAAGAAATGTACTTATTACCTGATGTATATGCATTAAAAATCTACATTTTCTTTTTTTTATTGTGAAAATACTGTACAGAGGGGTTACAAGAAAGTTTTCTTAGTACTAGATATAGCAAGCATATTTCTACAAGAGAAAATATTACAGAGCTATTGATGTGAAGCTTTCAACAACAGAACATGGGCAAGATAATGAGTACATTTCTTATCAAACATTGTAGCCTCCTCCTTTGTTTCCCCTTCCCATCCCTTCCCATCCTCCCCCCACCCCTCGACCCAATCCTCCTCCCCCCCCACCAAAGTTGTAAAGTTCATTTTTCCACATAACAACTTGTATATCTCATTGTTGCAATGGATCCACCTATATCCCTATTTAAACGATTTGTTTTTTTCCTTCCCCTCCACAAATTATACCAACCTCAAATACAGTGAAAGCAGGGGTTATATCATGGGAGGGACATACACAGCAACAAAGAAATAATCTTATAAAATCTACATTTTCAAGTCCTTAAGTCAAGAGAAAATCTGGGTGTGATGCTACATGCCTTTTATCCCAGCTATGGTAAGAAGCAAAAATGGGAGGACTACAGTCCAGTCTTGGGGAGAGAAGGAATGAGACCCTATCTCAGAAGCAATTGGAGTAAAGGGGGCTGAAGATATGGCTCAAGTGGGGATATCTGTCTACCAAGCTCAAACCCCTGTACCACGAAAAAGTAAGAGAAACAGCAAACAAATTAGACTTTCACATTCAAAAGATATTAATTAATATCAAAGGAGATAGTCATGGAGAAATAACAGGACAAAATGGCATAAAATGTATAGAAAAAATATCCAAATAGCTGGGTAAGGAGCTGGGAAGGTGGCTCAGTGGTAGAGTGCTTGCCTTGTATGCATGAGGCCCTGGGTTTGATTCCTCAGCACCACATAAGCAGAAAAAGTTGGAAATGGAACTGTGGCTCAAGTGGTAGAGTGCTAGCCTTGAGCTGAAGTGCTGAGGGACAGAGCACAGGCCCAGAGTTCAGGCCCCAAGACCAACCAAAAAAAGAAAAAAAAAGTTGGGTAATATGTGGCTTATTGTTAATAATTATCAATCCATTAAACACTCCACTTAAAAAAACAGAGATTAGATTGGGCACTAATGGCTCATACCTAATCTTTACTGCTTAGGAGGCTGAAATCTGAAGATCGAGGTTTGTTGACAGCCTGGGCAGACAAATCCAAAAGATTCTTATCTCCAATTAACCACCAAAAAGCCAGAAGTGGAGCTGTGGCTCAAGTGGCAGAGCACTAGCCTTGAGCAAATAAAGCTAAGGGACAGTGTCTGGGGGTCTTAATTCAAGTCTCATGACCAGAACGCAAAACAAAACAACAACAACAAAAACCAAGATATTAACATAATCAAAATATGAGAGATACACCTTGTGGAAAAAAAAGAGATTAACAGACAATTCAACTCATTATCTTGCCTATGTAATTGTAACCCCTCTGTACAGTATTTTCACAATAAAAAAAAGAATATGTAGATTTTTAATGCGTATGCATCAGGTAATAAGTACATTTCTTTTTCAACCATGTCACATCCTTCCCTGGCTCTCTCCCAGTTTTTCCCTCCTGTCCGCACCCACAAGTTGTATAGCTCATTCTCGACATAGTGTCTAGTGATTATCACTGCTGCATTTGTTTACCCTTGGTGCCCCCTTTCTGTGCCCCTCTTACCCTCCCAAAACAGATGAGCTTATAAACAAGATAGAAGGTAAAGAAAGAAAAAACAGCAACAAAAAAAGAAAACTCTTGTTTCCATTTCTTGGAGTTCATTTTAATAAATATTATTTTATATGATCATATGCACTTAGCTATTGAGCCTTTGTGATCCTCTTCTAACAAAATCCTCCTTTGATCTCACTGTGTGAATGTCTAGAGTTCTGTACATTTTATTGATGTGTTTCTTTCCTTTTATCACTCAGTGTGTGTACTTATAAATTTGTAGGCACATTCTAGTTACCACAAATGAGGAAAATCGTGCATCTTGTGTTTCTTTGGGTCTGGCTTGTTTTGCCTAATATAATTTTTTCCAAGTCTTTCCACTTCTATGGTACAATATCATTCTTTCAGATGGAGGAGCAGAATGCCATTGTGTACATATACCACATTGCAAATTTAGATTTTATTAGTGCTCATTAGTTATATGAGGGGGGGTTCATTGTTACATCGCCACACATGTTTACACTGTATTTCGATCAATCTCATTACTCTCTAACACTCTCTCTGCTCCCTCTCTCTTCTCTCACAATGTTTTTTAACCTGGCCTGGCTTGACCTGGAACTGTGATCCTCCTTATCTCAGCTTTCTGTATAGCTGGAATAAAAGGCACAAACCACAGAGCTTAGTTAAGATAGGGTCTATGAACTTTTCCCCTAGGTTGGCCTTAAACCTTGGCCACAACGGAAACCACATTTATTCTCTTTCCAATTGCTGTTTTTTGTGGTTGTGTGTTTTAGTGACTTTTGTGCACTAATTGTGTAAAGTTTCTAATTTTTTTGTCATACATGTCCACTGATGGTCACTTGGTTAGCTATATTATATTGCCAGTGATTGGAGAGAGATTTCCTTAAATGTCTAGAACCACTAGGTCTTATTGTCTTTGCTGCTATGTGTGTATGTGTACATGTATGTGTGTGTGTGTGTGTACCTATGCGTGTGTGTGTGTGTGTGTGTGTGTGTGTGTGTGTGTGTGGAGACACTTCACTAACACAGCCAGGAAGTTAACAAGGTTGCCTGAGCCTTCACTTTAGCCCATGCAGAACTCGAAGGTCAGTCAGAGGTGAGAACTTAGGACATTCCTGCATCTACCTGGGCAGGCACACTGCCCTGGCCATGAGCATAGTCCATGCATTGTATGGCCTTTTGGATCCTCAGAAACATGTGAAGGGTCTTAGCATCCCAGTAGAGAACATATTTCCCAACTTTTCCTTTTCACCCTTTTGTTCGATCTATTGTTTAAACTGAAACTTAGCCACTATTTTGGTAGACCACATTTGTTTTTGACATGTGCCCTGTGGAGGAGTTTTCCTCTTCTTCAAGCAAGCTCTGAACCAGGTCAAGTAAAGGCGACATTGGCAAATCAAAGAAATGATAACTGTTTTAAGGAGCAAGAAATGGTAATTAGTCTGATTCCTCATCATATATGTACACTCACATAATTATCACACTGTACCCCATAAATATGTACAATTATTATGTGTTAAATAACTTTAAAAGGGCAGCTTTGGGAGTTGGGTCCTCTGAGATCAATTAGATAGGTGAATAATAGCAGCTCTCTGGGAATGGGGTGTTGATGGAGTTTCTTCAGTGGTCTCCTGGGTGCTGATTTTCACTGTAACTGAAGGTGGCTGACTTTCACAGTCATCCACAGAGAGGGAAATAAGGTAACTTAAAATGCCACCATGGGCTGGGTGCTGGTATCTCACACCTGCAATCTTAGCTATTAGGAGACTGAGATCCGGAGGATGGGAGTGCAAATCCATCCTAGACAGAAAAGTTTGTAATGCTCCATCTCCAATTAACCAGCAAAATGACAGATGGAAAATGTGGTTCTAGTATTAGGGCACCAGCTAAGTGGGTAATCCAAGCAAGAGGGAGATGGCCTGTAGCAGAAGTAAAAAAGAAAAAGAAAAGTCACATTAGTACTGTTTTTAAAGGTCTAAAACAAACAAACAAAGAAACACCTCCTACATTGCTACAAGTTTCTGGTTAATTTCCATATTTCTGAGAAAATAAATCCTGATAAAGCTTTTCTCCGGCCAGCTTATTGCTACTTTCAATAGAGAGTTTTTAGGGATTCTTTTTTTTAATCATATAAAACATTTATTTATTTTTAAATTTAGATTTTAATTTTATTGTCAAGGTGATGTATACAGGGGTTACAGTTACATAAGTAAGATAGTAAGTACATTCCTTGTCAAACTTGTTACCCCCTCCATCATTTTTCTCCCACTTTCCCTCCTTCCAGCCCCCCTCCCACCAAGTTGTACCGAACATTTCCAACATATTGTCTTGTGAGTATCACTTTTGCACTGGTTCCCCTTTTGTCCTTTGTCTCACCATTTTTTTTTTGTTCCCCTTCCCTTCCCTAATTCAGATAAACATAAATTTAGGGGTTTTTATCTGATATTTTTCTGTGCTATCACTCAGGGAATATTGATTTTTAAGTTGTTTTTGGTTTATTCTAATTTCATGACTTAGTACAATATGCAGTTTTGCACACTGAGGATCTAGTTTCCTTTGGGCAAAAAATAGTTTCTTTCTCAGTTAAAATCTTCTTTTAAAAAAGCCTCGCTTCAAATATGACAATGATTGGAACTTTGAATAAGGCAGAGACTTGGGTTGAAACAATCATATGTTTTTCCACATATATCTAAGACATAGATGTCTGATGAAACAATGACTAAGTTATCTTTTCAATACTTTACAATAAATTATCCTTTTCGATACTGTTACAAAATACTGAAGGCAGGCTAACTCTATAAAAGAAAGAGGTCTATTTTGCTCACCTGTTTAGAGGTGCAAGGGCCTGGTGCTGGCATATGCTAAGCTCTACTCAGGGGCCTCTTGAATGTATCACAAAATGCACGTGTGTGAGTGTGAAAGTGAGGGAAATATCACTTCTTGAAACAGGAAGCCAGAGAAAAACCAGGGTCCCACAATCCTTGCTGAAGCTGTTCATGGCCTCAACTGGCTACAGACGTCTTAAGGTTCCCCGCTATCTCCCAGCACGGCCACTCTGAAAACAAAGTTTCAACACTGGAAGCTTGGGGTGACAGGTTTTCATACCGGAACCATGTCCTAACCATCACCAGCATTGACTTGATTTGCTGTCTCTGCCTCTAAGCTCCATGTTTCCCAAAAGCCTTTGGTAATCTTTTAACAGGATGCAGAGTCTGGATGAGCCATGGACAGAAGAGGAGGGAGAGGGTCCAGACCACCCATACTACAATAGTATTCCCAGCAAGATGCCTCCTCCAGGAGGGTTTCTTGATGCTCGACTGAAAACCAGACCCCAGACCCCTGACACAGCCCAGGTAAGTCTTACACTTTTCTCAGAGGATAGAGGCTCACTGAACTTTATTGACACCTGTTTTTTGTCCATTTGATTTCAGGCAGATAGTCCATTTAGTTTTTGATTCAATTGCTCATGAATTTTCTTTCCTTGGGTTTCATAAAATATCAAAAATCAAAGCTTAACACATCACAGTAGCCAAGTTCTTTGGAATAATAATGTGATTCCTCACAAATGTCAGCTTCGTCCCAGAACAAGTACCATCCTACCGTGATCTTTTTAGTTTTCTTTTTACGTGCCAGTCCTGGAGCTTGAACTCAGGGCCTGGGTGCTGTCCCTGAGTTATTGTGCTTAAGCCTAGTGCTGTACCACTTTGAGCCACAATGCCATTTCCAGCTTTTTGGTAGTTAATGGGATATAAGAGTCTCAAGGACTTTCCTGCCTGGCTGGCTTTGAACCACAGTCCTCATGTCTCAGCCCCCTGAGTAACTAGGATTTCAGGCGTGAGTCATTGATGCCCAGCCTTACTGTGATTTTAATGAGTGGAAGACTTAATTCAAGGGTTTTAGGAGACTTGTGGTGCTTTGCATTATCTAAAAGGAGAGTGGATACAGGCCATTGTAAGAAATTTTATGCATTTCTTTATTTTATTCATTTCCCTTTCAATCCCCAAATTTCACTTTAACTTAAAACTTTCTATAATTATTATACCTCAATTGTTTTTATTTTTATTTTTTTGTCGGTCCTGGGGCTTGAACTCTGGGCCTAGACACTGTCCCTCAACTCTTCAGCTCAAGGCCAGCACTCTACCACTTGAGCCACAGAGCCACTTCCAGTTTTCTGGTGTTTTATTGGAGATAAGAGTCTCATGGAGTTTCCTGCCCAGGCTGGCTTTGAACCACGATCCTCAGATCTCAGCCTCCTGAGTAGATTATAGGCGTGAGCCACCAGCACCCGGTTTATACCTCAATTTTTTAAGAATGCTTTTCCTTTGCCTTTTCTGTGGTGTTGGGATTGAACCTAGAGCCTTATGCATGTTAAGTATATACTCTACCATTTAGCTATACCTTTAATCCTAGCAATTTTTTAAACATTCAATGATAATACCATCCATAAAAATAACAGCATAACATTGAAATCAAGAATCTAAGACTAAGAAGGAATTTTCTGCATTCTGAGTGGCTTTTTTTAAGTGTGGCTGTAGGTGCATGGACTGGGTAGAAAGTAGTATATAATTGATAGATGCCTTTTATTGAAATTCTTTTTCTTCTTTCTTTCTCTCTTTCTTTTTCTTTCTTTCTTTTCTTTTCTTTTTGGTGTGTGCCTGTATGGAGGCTTGAACTCTGAGTCTGGGCATGTGTGTCCTTTAGCTTTTTCACTCAAAGCTAGCAGTCTACCACTTGAGCCACAGCTCCACTTCCAACTTTTTGATTAACTGGAAATAATAGTCTCATGACTTTCCTACTTGAGCTGGCTTTGAACCATGATCCTCAGATCTAAGCCTCCTGAGTAGCTAGGATTACAGCTATGAGTCTCCAGGCAACTGGCTAAAATACTTTTTTGGTGACTATATATGGACAAGTTTGGTATATTATTGCACTTGAAGAGATTTGGCTGTCATGATAACAAGGAGGATCCAAGTACAATTTCAATGGGGATGCATCCTTCTCCCTTCCATACAAACTTACTTGCCAGCTATGGCAAGCTATGAGCCATAGCTAATGGCAGCTATGAGGCATGAAGAGAAAATTAGGTGCAACCAAGGAGGCAGTTAACCTACCAACATCCCACCTGCTCTCCTATGGTTTTCAAAGTGTCTATATGTGTCTGTAGTTTGCAGGAAAAGAGCAAACTTATTACCAGGGAAGACACTTAGGAGATACGTTTGGTGAAGACTGGCAGCCAACACCCATCAGGCAAGGTGAGAGGCAAGGTAAGAAACACACAATGCACTTGTAATGTGTGATGCACAAATGGTGGGCCATTTGTCCATTTCCTGTGCCGTAGGAGAGAAAGCTCCTGCAAACATTTTCTGGGATTGGCACTGCAGATTCCTGACTAGACCATAGAAGTCAGATGGCAGCATTCTGTCTTTGGGTGCCCATGGGCACACATTCTGCATTAGCTCCTGCAGTTCTGGGTCTAGCTGAGACCTGCCAGCATTTAACCTCCTGGAGAATAACCATCAAAAGACTTCCTCTGGCCAGACAACTCACTAGCCAGAACTGGCTGAGGAGCTCATATCCCAACAAGACCTTTCCCAGTTTCAGTGAGGAACTGAAGAAGCACCTCAGAAGTGGATTTTCTACTCAAATTCTATGTTCCCCAGCAAAGTGAGCCCCCCAGGCTCCAGTGGCAACTTGTTTTGTTTTGCTTGACGCATTCCTCCTTATCCCCCCATACCTCAGGAGAAACAGACTCCTGCCCAGATTTGAGATTAATAGAACAGTGAGCACCATCAGTGTGGGTCTCTTACAGGCCCTGTGTACTTTTACAAGATATGTCAATGTCTTTGCAAATCTAATAACACATGCTTATTATATCACACCCTAAAAAGAATTTAGATGTAACCAAATCTAATTTAGACATAACTGTGTATTCTATTTATGTAAATATCTAATGTAGATATACCCCCAATATAACTATGATAATCTATACAGTTAAGAACTATGAGCTACTCATGTCTCTATTTTCTAGTTACTAATATGCATGTGTATGTATTCCTTCCATACTATTATCTATTTATTTATCATCTGTCTACAAATCTATCATCTATCCATCTATTATCTATCATATATCTACTGACCTACCTAGATTTTTTTACATCAATCTATCTACCAGTTATCTGTCTATCAAGCATCACTCTATCTATCCTTTAGGGACCCCTTTAAATTTTCACCTCCTCAAGAATTATCACCATTTTTTGTTTTTTTCTTTCATGCGATTGTTTCTAACGCATTTATAAGATTATTTCTTTATTGCTTTGTATGTCCCTCCCCCACAGTATAACCCCTGCTTTTACTGTATTTGATGTCGGTATAATTTGTGGAGGGGAAGGGGAAAAACAAGTTGTTTAAATAAGGATACAGGTGGACCCGTTGCAACAATGAGAAGTACAAGTTGTTATATCGAAAACAAACTTTACAACTTTGGTGGGGAGAGGGGGAAGCGGGAGGATTGGGTGGGGGGGGCGGGGGGAGGATGGGAAGGGATGGGAAGGGGAAACAAAGAAGGAGCCTACAATGCTTGATAAGAAATGTACTCATTATCTTGCCCATGTAATTGTAACCCCCTATTCAGTATTTTCACAATAAAAAATAAATAAAAATTAAAAAAAAGAATTATCACCATTTTTAATAGGTCTTCTGACAAAGCCCATTGGGTCTGGATGAGATGGATATGTTCACTGCCTTATGAATATAAATTCAAGAACTTACTAGTTCAGTGTTAAGACCTATCTTGTCATTATAACCATTCATGCCAGGGAGCAAGTGACAATAAATTGTTCCACTTTTTCCTGTAAGTAAGAATTCTGTTTCTAGCTTTTCCCAATGAAAAGAAGATTCATACTGCTGACCTAGTCAATAAAATGTGATGACCTGAATGAAGCTACCAGAGCCACAACTCAGCCTCAAAAATGTGATTGAAATAGCAAATAATGATTATGATTTTGCTAGAGGTATATTTTCACTATGAACTGGTCTTCTTTGCCTTATATCTATTAAAAATGCATTGAAATAACATATGCAGGTATATATAATCTATTTAAAATGTATTGAAATAACATACACAGATATATATATATATATATAACTGTATAAGATCAAAGAAGACATTATTTCTTCTGTCTGCTTTATGGTAAAATATTTTACATTTATTTAAGAATAGAACATTTGCATATGTATTCTAATTATCCCAGCTAGTAGAGAACAAAGAAATATAGCAGGCTTAATTAGGGTAGAGTGAACTTAATACACATTCACTGTCCAGAACACAATACTCATAACTTGCACTAAGTTTCAAGCTCTTTTTTAAAAGAAGTAACCACATTTTTCCAAAGAACAAATAAGAATTCCCTTTATAAATTTGCCGGTAGATATTCTTCTAAATGAACATAAACTTGAGTAACATCAAGATGTGTGTCCTTCAGTCCTACTCAGCACCTGCTGTCCTGGTCAATTGAAAGGTTAGGAAAGACAGACAAAAAGGATGGAGCTCTTCACCTTTTCCTTTTTGAAATTAGTTTGTAAACTTCAATTATATTTATTTGTTTGTTTGGGGGGTGTATTGTGTCAAGGGGCCTCATGCTCATGTGCTCTCATTTGGCTTTTTTGTTCAAAGCTAAAACTCTACTTTTTGAGCAATACCCCACTTACAGCTTTTTGCTGGTTAATTGGAAATAACAGTCTCAGATTTGTCTACCTAGGCTGACTTAAGCTAAGAACTTCAGTTCTCAGCCTCTTGAATAGCTAGGGTTATAGTTGTAAAACTGTTTATTTGCAGTACATACAACTGTGTAAACCGCGAGTATAGGTTATCCAGAAGCAGCATCTTAAACAGTAGAGAAAAGAGCAAAAGTAGGTTTAGGTTTTTTGAGGTGAGACTTCCCAGTAAAGTATTGTTAGCACGATACCATATTCTCACCCATTTACAGTGGTACTCACTGGTAATCCCAGTATTCAGGAGAAAAAGGTAAATTTGAGACAAAAATGTGCTATCTACTGAGTTCCAGGCCTGTTGGGGCTACATAGCAAGACCCTGCCACAAAAAGAAAAAAAAAGTATTGAACTAACTCTGTCATCTGTACCAAGACATCAATAAAGTATCTAGAATGACTATATAACACAGTGCAAGTGTATATGAAAACAGCATAAAGAAACACATAAAAGCTGTTGGCTAAAAAGGAGATGGAGGTGAGAAAAAAGTAGAATCTGTGAGCCATAGTAATGAAAGCAGCTTGGTACTGACCCAAAAACATACCCAAGGACCAATGGAACAGAAGAACCTCAGACCCACAGTCATCTAATATTTGATAAGGAAGCCCAAAACATGGAAAAACTGGATGGCCACATGCAGAAAACTGAAACTTGGTCTCTATCAGTCACCCTGTACTAACATCAATTCAAAATGGATCCAGGTCTTCAATATAAGACCTGAGACCATGAAACTACTACAGGAAGGAGTAGGAAAAACATTAGAACTTCTTGGTTCAGGCAGGAACTTTCTGAATAAAGTTCCAGGCATTCAGCAAGTCAAAGAAAAAATTGACGAATTGAATTGCATCAAACTAAGAAGTTTCTGTACGGCAAAGGACAGAATGGAAGAAGAGCTTTTCCATCTGTATATCAGACAATGGCTCTCTTACCCAATTAATAAATGAGCTAAGTAAAGACTTCTCAGGAATAAAAATGGCAAATAGACACATGAAGAAATGCTGAACCTCCTTGGCCATAAAGGAAATGCAAATCAAACAGCATTGAGATTCCATCTCACCTCAGTTAAAATAGCCATCATTAAGAATACAAGCAACAACGTGCTGGCTAGGATATGTGGGAGAAGGAACCCTAGGACTCTGTTAGTGGAAATATAAACTTGTTCAACCACTCTGAAAAGAAGTTTGGAAATTCCTAAAAAGCAACTAAGCATAGAACTACCCCTATAATCCAGTGATACTGCTCCGGGACATTTATCTAAAAGATTACAAATCAGGTAACAGCAAAGCCACTTGCACAACCATATGCATTGCAGCACTATTCACCATAGCCAAGGTATAGAAACAGCCTACATGCTCCTCCATGGATGAAGGGATCAAGAAAATGTGGTGTATTTGCAAAGAAATAGATAGACCTGAAAGAAAATATAGTAAGTGAAGTAAGTCAGGCCCAGAGAGACAAAAGATACATGTTTTCTCTCATCTGTGGAAGCTAGAACTAATTTATAAATGTATAAGTACAGACCTATAGCCACCTAATATTTGGTAAGGGAGCCAAAAACACAGGATGAAAGAAAGCCTATTCAACAAATGGTGCTGGCAGGATTGGCTATATACATGAAGAAAACATAAGTTAGATCCTTATATATCACCCTGCACCAGAATCAGTTCCAAATGGATCAAAGACTTCAATGTAAGACCAGATAGCCCTGAAAGTATTACAGGAAAGGATAGGGGAAACACTAGAGCTCTTTGGCACAGGTCGAAACTTCCAAAGTAAAGATTTAGAATCACAACAAATCAAAGAAAGACTGGATAAATGGGATAGCATGAAACTGAAGAGTTTCTACCTGGCAAAGGACATAGCTAGCAAAATAAATAGAAAACCCACAGAATGGGAGATCTTTAGTAACTATGCATCAGAGAAGAGCCTCATATCTAAAATACGCTTAGAGCTCAAAAAATTAACCCTCCCAAAACTAATCCTCAAAGAAACAATGACCCCATTAATAAGTGGGTTAAAGACTTAAGGAGAGACTTTTCTGAAGAAGAAATAATAATGGCCAATAGACATGAAGAGACATGAAGACACATGTTGAACAATGCAAATGAAAACAACATTGAGATTTCACCTCACCTGAGTTAGAATGGCTATAATCAAGAAAAGGAACAATAACAGATACTGGTAGGATGTGGCCAAAGGGAACGCTATTACACCGTTGGTGGGAATGCAAACTTGTTCAACCACTCTGGAAAGCAGTATGGCGGTTCCTCAAAAAACTAAATATAGAGCTTCCTTATGACCCAGCAATCCCACTCCTGGGCATTTACCCAAATGACCACAAACAAGGCCACACTAAAGTCACCAGAATGGCCATTTTCATTGCAGCATTGTTTACCATAGCTAAGATATGGAATCAACTCAGATGTCCCCCAGTGGACCAGTAGATCAACAAATTGTGATATAAATACACAATGGAATTTTATGCTTCCATCAGAAAGAATGGCAATGCCCCCTTTGTAAGAAAATGGAAAGACTTGGGAAAAGTTACATTAAGTGAAGTAAGCCAGTTCCAAAGAAACATTGGCTGCATCGTTTCCCTCATTTGTAATAATTATAATTGATAATTATAAATCTACAAGTAAACTCAATGGATAGTAAAAGACAAATAAGTAGATTAATTTAACAGCACTATAAACATTCACACAGTGAGAACAAAGGAGAATATTCTTAGGAGAGGATCACAAGGGCTCAATAGCTATGTGCATATGATCATACAAAATGAGGCTTATCAAAATGAACTCTGAGAAATGAAAACAAGAGGTTTTTTATTGTTCTGCTTGCACGTTTTTGTTTTGGTTTTTACTTTTTTCTTTGGTGTATTCCATTTTGTCACTGTTTTTGATTTCTGTACTCTTTGTCTTGTATATGTTTATCTGGTTTGGGGAGTAGAAGGGGAAGCACAAAAAGTGTAGAACAAAGGGTAAACCAATTCAGCAGTGACACTCACTAGGCATTATGTTGGAAATGAACTATACAACTTGGGGAGGGGGTTGGGTGTGTAAAACCTGGGAAAAATTAGGGAAGAGGTAATGCTGTTCAAAAAGAAATATACTCATTACCTGACTTATGTAATCCCTTTGTATGTCACCTTTACAATAATTTTTTAAAAAAATAAGTATTCAAATAAACACATATGGGGTTATATGCAAGTGTACACAAATGAATTGACTGAAGTACCATTTGCAAGCAGAGGGGATTCCTTAGAATTGATGTGTAATTCCTTAGAGAAACTAGTTCACAGTCCAACAAAATGAAAACCAGGAAGTTGGCACTTGAAAGGTATTTGGGGGAGGTCAAAGGGAGAGGAGGGGCGGAATGAAGAGCGGAAGGGAGGAGGAGAATGCATTCATAATATTCAAAGCATATCCTTTGAAACTAAGAGAACAGAGGGAGGAGACAGCAGGGGAGAGAACGCTGAAAGGGGTGACAGTAAGATGCGTTGTACTTTTAAAGGGATTTGTTGAATGATAACTTCTTTGACAACTAGCTCAATATAATGGAAACATAACTTTCAAAAGAAATCTGCTTTGTGGGAGGAGGACACCAGTGAGAGGAGGCTGAGCTGAAAAGGAGGATGAAGGAGGTTGAATATGGTTGAATAGATCATTTGCTACTAGAAAATAGAACAGTGAATGTGATGAATTTGGGGGGGGGAGGGAGAAGAGAAGAGGGTCAAGGAGAGGGAAGGTTATGGGGTGATGAGGTTGATGAGAATGCATTGTAATTGTGCAGGAATGTAACAAATATAACCCTTCCCTTTATAACTAATGCAAGCTTAAAAAGAAGACACCAAAAGTATTAATAACCTAGGGCAGATGCAGAAAGGAGACTACCCAGGGCATTCTTGTGGACACATTTGTGAAGACAGACACATACCCGGAAGAGAAATCCAGGACAATGCTCTTGATCCGTGCCTCTAAAGCCACCTCTGGGTGACAGAATAGCCTGAACCTCTAGGCCCAGCTCAACACCTGTTTTGCCCCCCAGGATGTCCCATGGGAACAGCGTTGCTACCTCAGAGGAGGGGCCTCTTTGATTATACACTCAGCCCAAGTTTCCTCCTTAGATCCATGACATCAGCAGCAGTGGCTGTTTGTAGTGAAGGCGTCTCCATCCATTGGGAGACACTTTATAATTCATAAAGCATCCAGTGGCACTTGAGCGTCGTTAAACGAAGGCTGTGGTTCTGCTCAGTCATTTAATCTGATTTGGTTTTGTAAAAGAGGAGTTCAGCCATTTCCCCTGAGGCATCCTGGTGTTGACCCCAACATTGAAGACTAAAAGAAGACAACTTAGGTAGAGGGTACTTCCGGGAGCCATATTCTTATTGGTTGGTTCAAGCTTTCCTGCATGGAATGCTGGGTAGGCCAGTTACAGACACACAAGTGGTATTACAGTCCTCTTGCCATTCTCAAAGAAAAAAAAGTGCTCAATTCTTTTTTTAATTGCAGGGTCCTTGGACATTTACAGCATGCCAGAAGGGAAAGTCAATGTGGCCCCCATGGGAGAAGCACCCACCTACATCAACACCCAGCACATCCCAGCACAGGCCCTGCCAGCCGCAGCCAGCAGTGCGGAGAGCAGCCCACGGAAGGATCTCTTTGACATGAGTAGGTTTCTATTTGTCTATCCTTTAGTTCTCTTCAGAAATTTAAAAAAAATGCCTTTTTTTAAAAGTGCAATTACTGAAATTTCAGCTAGCAGGGTTTTTCTTTCTTTTTTTAATTATTGTGAAAATACCGTACAGAGGAGTTACCATTACATGGGCAAGGTCAGGGTTTTTCTTAATGCCTATGATTTAACAGTGTTTTTCTGGGCTCTAATTGGTCTCATTGAAAGTTTTGAGATTACAAACCCTCTCTTGTAGTCAAGAGACAGAACCAGTTTTCCCTGCGTTTTGGAATTGCTCTTGAAAACTTACTAGTGTGTTGAAACAAATGACATACACAAATAAATGCATTCATTTATCTACTCACTTAAATATTAATTGGCCATGATGTGCTAATTATTGTATTATTTACTAACAATGCAAGGATGAAATGGCCTGTATTCACATAGGTCTCGGTCTATCAAGCAAGACCAAGATAGGATCAAGAAATCACAATGCATCTCTCTCACACATGTACTTTCTCTCTCTTGTTTCTGTGTCCCTACATTCTCTCTCACTTTTCTCCTCTTTTTTGTTCTGATTCTCTCTCTTTCCCACTACCCTTTCCAAAAATTTACTGAGCACTTATGTATCAAATACTTTTCTATTTATTGAAGATATGTAAAAAAAAAGCAAACTAGGCGGCCCTTATTCTAATAAGTAAACATGTAACCATAGGCAATAGGACATACTCAAGAGTGACAATCAGTAGAACAGAATGAGAAGAGTGGCAGGCACTTAACATGCTTGGTGATATAGTGGGAAGTGGATTTTTGACTTGGACGTAGTCACATAGATTAGGCAAATTAAGTCATTCTTGAACTGAAATGGATCGAAATGTGAAAACTGTTGTTAAGGAATTTGGAAATAGATTTCCAAGTGCAAATAGTTTTATATGTTAAAATTTTCTTGTTTTTAATTCCACCAGAACTTGACAGTCTAAAGAAGACCTGAAAGACCAATAATGTTGAGTGATTTTCTACATGTGTTGAGCCCTTATTATTTTATTTCATTTTATCTACCACCCTGCAGGTAGATTTTATGATTGCTTTTTACCTTTTTGTAGTGTAAGAGGAAGTGGAGAATCCTAGAAGTTAGATAACTTCCCATGAAAGGCAGCCTTGCTGCTCCAATTCTTGCCATTTGTGGTGATGTGTGTGGTGATGGCAGGGCCCTGTGTTCATAGAACAGACAGCATCATGACCCCATACTGGGCTTTCTCTTAGCCATGTGGCTTCCCTAACACACTGAACTTCCACCTGAACCCAAAAAACTCTTTGAGTTTCAGTGCTTGGAGATAGCTAACAGAGCCCTCAGTCTAGTCCTTCAGATGAAAAAAGCCAGCTGCCAGTGGCTCATGCCTGTAATCCTAGTTACTCAGGCAGCTGAGATCTGAGGATTTCAGTTTGAAGCCAGCCCTGGCAGGAAAGTCCCTGAGAGTCTTAACTCCAAATAATCAGCCAAGAGCTGAAGTGGAGGTGTGGCTAGAGTGGTAGAGTGCCAGCTGTGAATGCAAAAGCTGAGTGAGAGCATAAAGCCCTGATTTCAAGCCCCAGTACACACACACACACACACACACACACACACACACACACAGAGTGGAAACTGTCCAACTATGGTGAAGCCACTTTCTCAAGCTACAAAGTAAAGCCCTTGCTCTCCAGCCCCAGTCTCAGTTTCTGTAGTATTCGACGTTGTACTTCCAAGCAGTCTATTTTTATGGTTTAATTTCATCAATTTACTTCTCACCCCAAAGGCTGAGGAGCGTGAGATGTGTGTGAGGTTAGAGAAAATTGAGAACCAGAGCCATCCTCTTTCCATCAATGAATTCCTACTGCTTCTCCGAAAACCAGACCAAAAAAACAAAAAGTAGCAATGGCTTAGCGAAGTTGATGTCCACAAAGAGGTGTGACAATAAAGCCAGCATTCTGTTGTTGCTTTTGTATTGATACAGCTAAATGATAGTAGCAGTGGCAAGATGGTGATGGATGATGATGCTGCTGCTAGAGGTGATGATGATAGTGATAGTAATGGTGACCCTGGTTCTGGTTAATTTTGAAGATGATGATGATGGTGATGATGATGGTAATGTTGTTGATGATACTGATAGAAACAACCTGAGAACAATAGGGGTGTTGCTGACAGTGGTGATGTGTAATACACATTTTCAGCCTATCCATGTAATCAGATAAAAAGAAAAGGTTAAGAAAAGCCCACATATATCAATAATTTTAACCTCCCTTTCTGTAAAAGATCTAACATCTGTAAAAGATGTAATAGTTGTCAAATAGATCTAATTGGTTTCATGTATTCATTCTTCTTCTTTCCATCCTCTACTAATATTTCCCAAATGGGGTTTATTTTAAAGCATCCATCAAGTACTTACAGAGGACTGTGTCCCAGAAACAATGGTATCTGTGCCAGGAGAAACCCATTCCTGCTCTGTGGTGTTGTCTTTAGGGGTTATGTCATGTGTTCCTAAATAACCAGCACAGCCAGTCATACTTCACAGTTGTGTGTCACTGAGTGGACTTTTCAGGGCTTTTGTCCATACCACCATACTGGAAAATTAAGCATTGAAATCGAATTAGATGTGCCTGGCTACTTCTTTTGCCACTAGTATTTATTGCTGTTAGAGCAGCAATCTTGCCAGGCATAGATCTATTAGAGTGAAAAGTATGTTTCAATGGGGATAAAGCCTTGCTTTTCCCTTTGGAAAAAATTACATTTGGAGGTTAAGAGATGGAAAAAGTCATATTAGAGGCACTCAAAGATTTTGAGACAAACTGTTGGTAGATTGGCCTTAGGTTTTTTATATGAAGTCAAAGCCTGTGGCTTTTCTTTTCTTTTGTTATTGGCAAGTTTTATCTGAATAAAACGTCGTTAAGGAGGTTGACAAATGGGCCAGGGAAGTAGATGGTGTGAAATATCTATACTTTTTTTTTTTTTTGCCGGTCATGGGGCCTGAATTCTGGGCCTGGGTGCTATCCCTCAGCTCTTCAGCTCAAGGCTAGCACTTTACCACTTGAGCCACAACACCCATCTTTTTCTTTTTATGTGGTGCTGAGGAATCGAACCCAGGGCCTCATGCATGCAAGGCAAGCACTCTACCACTGAGCCACCTTCCCAGCCCTATCTATAGCTTTTTGAAATGTGTCGTTCTACCTTTTTAAAGACTGTGCTGAAAGCCACATCACAAAGTACCACTCTCAGCTGGAGAGACTTTCCAGACTCATTGGAGAAAGCCATGTTAAAATCTGGGCTGTGCTTTAAATGCTTGTTAGAATGAGTCTTGTGATATTAACTGCTAGTTCTTTTTCTCTAGTCCCCATTTCTTGAGGAGTTGTGCTTGCATTTTCAGCTTTCACACTGTATTTTTATCATTCATTCTTGAGATTGACTCATTGCTGGCAAATGTTGTTGGCAGAACCTTTTGAAGACGCTCTCAAGAACCAGTCCCTGGGACCAGTGTTGAGCAAGGCAGCCTCTGTGGAGTGCATCAGCCCTGTCTCACCCAGAGCTCCAGATGCCAAGATGCTGGAGGAGTTGGATGCTGAGCCTTGGTACCAGGGAGAGATGAGCAGGAAGGAGGCCGAGGGGCTGCTGGAGAAAGATGGAGACTTCCTAGTCAGGAAGAGCACTACCAATCCTGGCTCCTTTGTCCTCACTGGCATGCACAATGGCCAGGCCAAGCACCTGCTACTGGTAGACCCCGAAGGCACGGTAAGGCAGGGGGGCAGGGCCTTCTAATGAGCCAATACCTACTTGTTTGTGCTTTTGTTATTGTCATCTCTACTTTTAACTGTGTCTGCTTAATGGGTATTCATGGGATAACTGCCATACTGCTGTCCCCACCTGCAAGAGACTGCTAGGGACAGAGGACCCAAGCCTTATGCACCGTGCTTGGGGACAGATAGCCGTGGTCAGTACCCCATGGGAGTAATAAAACTTTGAAGATAATCATGGCCCAGGCTAAAAGCCTTGACTTTTATGTTCTGTAAGATAAATAAATACACAAATTTCAATTTACTACACGGGAACCTAAAAAAAAAAAAAGTTAGGTCCTTCTCTCACCTCTATCTTTTTTTTCTGGTTATGGGGCTTGAACTTAGGGCCTGGGCACTGTCCCTGAGGTTGTATAGTGAAAATGAGCTTTCTGCCACTTGAGCTACCATTCCACTTCTGGCTTTTCCTGTGATTAATTGGAGATAAGAGTCTCATGGACTTTCCTGTTTGGGTTGGGCTTCAAACGGTGGTCCTCAAATCTCAGCCTCCTGACTAGCTAGGATTACAGACATGATCCACCAGTGCCTGGCTATTAATATCATATTTTAAAGCATCTTCAGTTGAAACTGAAACCTAAATGTGAAAGAAAAAAGAGAACCAAGAAAATAAAAACCAATAAGAAAAAAGCTGTCTAGAATTATGAAGGCAAAGCAACAAAAAGAACATTTTCACAATACATTCACAGTGGACAAAGTTTGACAGACTCCGGGGCTTCTAATATTTATCACAAATATTTCCAAAAGGTGAGTTTCTGAAATTTTTATTTGTGGGCTATAAAATGTTATGAGTAATAAGCAACCCCCCCACACACACTAATTACTCTTTTCTTCCAACTCAGAGAGCTAATATCAAGTGGTATTGAGTTGGAAATTTAATATCGCTGAACAATTTTGTGCATTTGGCTACACTGTACATTTTCTGATTAATAAATATATTTGTCTAGCCCAATAATTGCTATATTTAGTAAGCACAATTAAATCACCCTTACCATTAAGTAAATTCCAGTGTTCCTTTTTCAAGCCTTTTATAAAATGAAAACAACATAAAATAAGTAGTTATCTAAATAATGGTGTTTGGTTGGACTTGAATACAGTTTAACTTTGTGTGTAGGAGGTGGGGATAACAGAGTTACCTGATAGAATTCAGAGGTTCCTACCAAGGTACCTGCATACCTCAGCTCTTGGTGCTCTGGGAACAGTTCTCGCTGCACAGGTCCTCTTCCATCCCCACCAAGGCAACCACTTCCCCAAAGATGGAATGGAATCAGTGTGACCACTTCTTCCAGTTCACCTAATGAACACACACACATACACTCCCAAAATGTATGTTTCTGTGTTTGTACCTTTCAGAAATTTGCAAAGATCATGTTGTTCTACAAATCCTCTTTCATTTTCTTCTTCTTTTTTTTTTTCCTGAGGATAAATTGTTTTGGAGATGCCTCCATGTGCTTTCTGCGTAGGGGCTCATTACCTGGGTGGGGTGCCAGAGGCCCATTGTATGCACTTGATACTTATCACTTATGAGCTCTCTAGTGAAGGGAGTCTGAGGGAGTCTCCTGCAGACCTTGCTGCATCTTTCTGTCTGTACTTGGGGCGTGTCTTTGGGGCAGGTGTCAGCAGCAGTGGAGATTTGGTCAGAGGAAAGGCATACATTCAGTTTCACTGGGGTTTGCATTTTAAAAAAACGATCTAGCCCATTCAGGAGCACATAGTAGACTGTCAGAGGACCCAAATCCTTGCTTTTCCTTGGTAGTGTTTCCCTAGTTTTGCTAATCTATGGGAGTAAAGAGTAGAGGGATATCTCATGATCTGATTTTTCAATTCTTTAATTATATATCATAAGCACTTGTCAGGTACTCTCAATAAATTTAACTTCTCATGTTTTTCTTTTGTTTTTCCTTCCTTCATTTGTTTGTTCCTTCCTTCCCCCCCCTCTCTTTTTTTTGGGGGGGGGGTCCAGTCATGGGCCTGAACTCTGGGCCTGGGTGCTATCCCTCAGCTCTTCAGCTCAAGGCTAGCGCTCTACCACTTGAGCCACAGTACCACTTCCGGCTTTTTTCTTTTTGCTTATGTGGTGCTGAGAAATCGAACCCAGGGCCTCATGCATGCAAGGCAAGCGCTCTACCACTGAGCCACCTATCCAGCCCTTCCCCCCCCTTACTTTCTTTATTCTTTCTCTCTTCTTTTTGTTCTTTCTCTCTTTTTCTTTTTCCTTCCTTCCTTCCCTCTCTCCTTCCTTCCTTCCTTCCTACCTACCTTCCTTCCTTCCTTCCTTCCTTCCTTCCTTCCTTCCTTCCTTCCTTCCTTTCTTTCCTTCTTTCTTTCTTTCTTTCTTTCTTTCTTTCTTTCTTTCTTTCTTTCTTTCTTTCTTTCTTTCTTTCTCTCTTTCTCTCTCTCTCTCTTCCATTCTTTTATCACATCCATGAACATAGCATAAATCTCTACTTACTCAGTTTTTCTTTGATATCTTTTCAAACTTCTTCATTTTCTTTGTCCAGTGGTTTCCTACAGTATCTAGCTTTAGCCTTTGTTCTAAGGCTTTTTTGTGTTTAGTTACTTTTTCTCAAAAGTACTGCTTTGAAAGAGGAATGTAGTGTATTTGGTGCCCAGAAATGTGATTCCAGCAGTTTTGCCAGAACACTGGTCTTGCTTTTGTATGGTATATCTCTGCTTCCCAAGGCCATCTTCAGGCCTGCTCTTGCCCCACTGCACTTAGGGTGCCTTTGAGCACTGTCCACAGGGGGTGCTCTTTCGTGGTCCAATGTGAAAAGGAGTGTTTTTGGAAGAGAGTTTACAGTAGGCTTTTGGTCCTTCTTAGCCTAAATGATTCCAATTGTTCGTTCATTCATTCATTCATCTGTCTATTCAAAAAAAAATGTACTGAAGCCAGGCACCGGTGGTTCATGCCCATGACCCTAGCTACTCAGGAGGCTGAGATCTGAGAATTGCAATTTGAAGCCAACCCAGGCAGAAAAGTCCATGAGACTCTTATCTCCCCAAACTACTCAGAAAAAGCTGGAAGTGGCACTGAAGCTCAAGTATTAGAGCACTAGCCTTGAGCGAAAAAAGGCTCAGAGACAGTGCCCAGGCCCTGAGTTCAAGCCCCTTGACTAGCGAGGCAGGGGGAGGGAGGGGAGGTAAGAAAAAAAGTACTGCATGCTGAATCCAAACATCACCTTCAGCACCTTGTATGTTTCTTGATCTTGTTTAAAAGAAAATCTCTGCCTTAGTGGAATCTATAGATTACTTTTTATCATATATTGGTATTGAATTTTATCACATTTCTTCAGTATTTTTTGAGATAATAATGTGACATTTTTCTTAAATTCTTCAATATGGAGGATTACACAGATACATTTTTCTGATATGATGATCTTATCATAACACTGTTTATCTTGGCATAATAGTTGAGTTTGGACATCTACTTTTTTCATCAATTTTAATTGCTCTTCCAACTGAGTTATTTCAGCACAGCCTACTCTTTTTTTTTCTTTTTAAGGGTTGTTTTGATCTCTGTTCTTAAGTAAAATCTGTTGTAATTGTGTTTTGCTGCTTCTATTTGTATGTGCTTACTAGCTTGGGTAGCAAGGTGCTATAGTTAAACTTGCCTTTGTATATGAGCAAAGCATACTTAAGATTAGATGGTTTATTAGGAAATCTTTCCTTGTGTTACCTTAAACTGAAACTCTTGTATACTCACTATTTCTTTATTCTGACTTAATTTTGCTCTAACACACTTACTGTGAATAATCATTTGTTTGTTTATTTTCTTATTATTTGCTTCTCCCTTTTCTACTAGATTATTATCTCTGTATGAGTAGCAGTCTTACTTATTGCACTATCCTCCAGTACCTGCATGGTGCTTGGCACATACTAGGTGTGCAATAAGCACTTGATGAATGCTTGACCAAGTCAGGCTCTTACGATTAGGAACTGAGAATCCTATGAGATTACCTGAGGAAAGAGCCACACCCTACTAATATACAGCCATACTCCATGTGGTATATTGTGCAGATATAAAATAACAAGCAAGATTTTGTATAGAACTAGTTCAGATTTCTATCTATTTTCATTGGCGGTTCAACAATTCAGTTGTGGTTCTCTAAAAGAAAATAGGAAGCCAGGTACTAGTGGTCCTCAACTGTAAGAAGGCTGAGATCTGAAGGTTGTAACTCAAAGCTAGCCTGGATAGATAACTACAAGGGACACTTACTTCCAATTGGAAGTGGAGGTATAGCTCATGTGATAAAGTACCAGCCTTGAATGAAAAAACCAAGCATGAGTGAGTGCAAGGCTCTGAGTTCAAGCCCCAGTACTGGCACAAAAAGAAGATAGAAAAGGAAAGAAAGAAAGAAAGAAAGAAAGAAAGAAAGAAAGAAAGAAAGAAAGAAAGAAAGAAAGAAAGAAAGAAAGAAAGAAAGAAAG